ATAGTACTGCAGTTACTGGTACAGAAAGTGCTTGTGAGCAATATAGGAAGCTCTTGATTACAAGCTCTTGCTTTACTGGGAAATGGAAGAGGGTTGCAGTTGCACTTGGTCAGGAACACATCAGTGCTAGGTGCAGCTGTAAGCTGCCTCAGCTGGATGGATGCTCTCACTCTACTCCAGTCTTCAGAGAACTGATTCTGGTGCAGCTCATCCTGGAAACTCTTTTTATGAAGGACAAGGATATCCTCAGTAGTAGTCAGCATGGATTCACCAAGGGGAAGTCATGCTTGACCAACTTGGTAACATTCTACAATGGGATGACTGGCTTGGTAGACAATGACAGAGCAGCATATAACAACTACCTGGACTTTCATAGGGCTTTCAAACATTGTCTCCCATAAAGAAGCTGTTGAAGTACAGGCTGGGTGAGCAGACACCCAGGTGGACTGAACACTGGCTGGTCCCAGAGAGCGGTGATCAGTGGCACAAAGTCTAGTTGGAGGCCAGTAACTAGTGGTGTGCTTCAGGGTTTTACACTGGGTCCAGTCCTGTTTAACACCTTCATTAATGATGTGGGTGATGGAGCAGTGTAACCTCAGCTGGTCTGCAGATAACACCAACCTGGGAGGAGTGCCTGATTACTCCAGAGGGATCTTGATAGCCTGGAGAAATGGGCTGTCAGGAATGTCATGAAGATCAAGGAGAAGTGCCAAGTCCTGCAGCTGGGGAGGAACAACCTCAGGCCTGGGATCTGATTTAACATGGGATGAATCCATGCCTTGCTAAGGGCCTCTTGCACCAAGTGCTGTAAGGACAGAAAGTACTCGCTCAATAGACTTCTGCTTGAGGAGCAAAACAGATTTAAGAGGTTTTAGGACCTCTTTGAAGCCTTCCCCATTTTTCCTTCTATCTTTATTGAAGCTACATGAGGTTACAATGCACATTTCATCCTGCAAAGGGTAAAATACCCCAACACACTCAGACAAACCTACCACAGGAGCCCGTTTTCAGGTAAGCACCTCAAAAGCCAAGCACTTACAGACTGCAGCACACAAATTACATCTCCTTCCTCTCAGCTGGATCTGCTTCAGAATTCAGAATTCAAGGCTGAGAGCTGGTTAAAAATAAAAGCAGCTCCTTATGGAACGTGGCTTTTGGCTGCGTAGTTGCAAGTATGGGGCAATAGGGTGCAATCCCAACTCTTCAATCAACCTTCTGCATGACCTTGGGCAAGACACTTTCTGTACCTGCCTCCCTCCCTCTCGGTACAGGCATTCAACAGCACATTCTCTAGGGCAACAACTCTCACTTTCCATGCCACATTAGACAAGCAAGCTTAGATTTTAACAGTAGTGATGTTAACTTGCACAGAGAAGCTGTGGCTGCCCTATCCCTTGCAGTGTTCAAGGCCAGGTTGGACACAGGGGCTTGAGCAAGCTGCTCCAGTGGAAGGGGTCCCTGCCCATGGCAGGGGTTGGAGCTGGAGGAGCTTTAAGGTCCCTTCCAACCCAAACCAGGCTGGGATTCTGTGATTAAAAACGTTCCCTGTGAGCTCCATCTCATCAGATTTCTTTGGTCTGACACCGAGCAGGCAAGTGAGAAACGGATTCAACATGGGTTATGTGTAGAACAGTGCATATAAGAAAATGCTATTATAACCTATGTACATAATGATGGACTCTGAAATAGCTGCTACCACTCAGTGATGAAACCCTGGGGTTATAACAGTAACAAAAGCAAAGTCATTACTTCCCTACTGTTAAAATAGCAGCCAGTGTTATGAATTAGGAAGAAAATAAGGCAGCAAATGGTTATGTTGCTATGCAAATCCCTGTTCTGGAGACTTCAGGGTTAGCAACACACTAGGGACACCTCATTCAGCTCAGGCTGACACGTCCTACACATCCCTCTCAGCTTGCTGTTAAGTTTCAGGACACTGTCAAATCTCTCCTAAGTAGGCATCTAATCTAGATTCCCAGAAGTAATGAGCAGTTCATACTGAGCTCAACAGGAGACTCAGGTATTCAGAGAATCAGAGTATTTATGTGGGTACTTCAAACATGATTAAAGCTTAACGCTAGGAAATCAGGCCTGAAAAATACCAAGAGCCTCACCTGAAGCAGCATAACCAATCCTATGCTGCCAATGAGGCAAATTTATCTTAATAGGCCATCATCCTCCTCTTCATTTTACCTTTACAGGCACCACATGGAAAGAGAAACTAAAAGACTGCTTCAGGCCATAGTTACAAGTACAAACCTCACAGAAAAAGGTGGCTGCACAATATCAAATATGCAAAGACAAAGAAACAAGTAAAACTTTGTAGCTGCAATGAAGAACTCCAAATTAAGTGCTGCTGAGCCTTTTGAGAGGGCACCGTTGAATCGTGGAGGGGGAAAGAAAAGGATGTGTAAGCAGGAAGCACTGGAGGTGTTAATTTGAGCAGCTGCTAGAAACAGATGTAAGTCAGTGACAAGATTCCAGAGGTAGGAATAGGAATAGAGAAGTTCATTCAGAACTCAGTTTTTCAAGGCATGCAAAATACAGCCATACCCAAGAAAGATGGAGCCAACACATCAACACAGGCCAAGTGGAAGAATGTGCATCTACAAAACATGCTTCCCAACTACGTTATCCATGGTACAGATGGTCTGATTAAGACCCCAGCCTTTCCAGGTTTCCACACCCCTATTTAGGTATGGAAACACCTAAGGACAACTGTTCACAGACCACCAGTGCTGTGTATTTGTACAGCACCCACAAAAAGATTAAAGTACAGCAGTGTAGGTCTGCTGACACTTCTGTCTTAGTGAGCCCATGGTACAGGGAAATGCTTCATTTATAGCATGTATCTCCTATACAAAACACTAAATGAACCAGTCCTCTCTCCTACATTTCCAGGGGTAAACTTTACTTGTAAGTCTTTAACCACAATAAGGAGCTTTAGAACTAAATGGTTCAAAACTAGTAAAATAATTCTCAGCAAAGAGAAGAGCTGCATCTCATCAAACTGGAAGCTCAGAAGCTGGATTACATAGAAAGCAGCAGAACAGCTGGTAAGACGACATAAAATAGCCTGTATACATCAGGGAAAGCTTACAGTCAGTAACTCAGAACAGAGAGATTTGCTGAAATAGGAGCCATAAATAAATCACGTTGCTTAAAGCTGAGTTATATTTCAAGCTAAGTTCAGATCACACTAAATCTGTTATCAGTGCTTAACTTTCTACAGCATGCCTCCCAAGTTATTTGACTAACTTATATATGCTAACTTATACTAGGTAATTACTAGGTAATTTCTTTGTTTTATTACACAGAAGTTCTTTACTGTGAGGGTGGTGAGACACTGGCACAGGTTGCTCAAAGGAGTGGTGAATGCTCCATCCCTGGCACAGTTCAAGGCCAGGCTGAAGAGAGCCTTGGGCAACAAGGTCTAGTGTGAGGCGTCCCTGCCCATGGCAGGGGGTTGGAACTGGATGATCTTAAGGTCCTTTCCAACCCAAACCATTCTCTGATTCTATGATAGTAGCAAAGACCTTAAAATGTTGCTCAAACAGAAAACTAAGAGCAGAGCCAACAACAGGATTTAGATTCTGTTACTGCCCCCAGTCCTGTGGTTTTAGTATTAGTCAGGCTGGTTCTTCACCTCTGCTGCAGTGAGGCTGTCTCATGGTGGATCACAGCAGTCACTGACTGTGGAGCAGGCCTGTGCAACACAAGAGGGTAGTAAGGAAGCCAACACACAGTAAGTAAAATACAAGGGTTTTTTAAAAACTGATTTCTGTTTTACAAGCAAATGTTGTACAGAGGTTGGTGGAACACAGACAAAATAAGTGAAACACAAGACCAAGGGTTTCTCATATAGATCTGCAGCCCAAACTTAATAAAAGGCCAATAAATGGAGATATTCAGAGCGTTGATCAACTACAGGTCTATACCCCCTCCCCCCAATACATGTGTATAACAGGAAGAAGACATCCAGCATCACCTTTCAAACAGCTTAAATGCCCTCAGAGATCACTTCCATACTGGTATCTGCATAATCCTAGGTGCAATGGAGCACACAGACAACTGCCATCACTGCATAGCCACCCCTTGCCAGCTCTTTGTCCCATACTGTTCCCAAACAAAAAGCAAACATCAATCAGGAGCAGAGTGCTAGCTATGATTTTACATTAGATTATTAAAAACTAGTGTGTAATCGTTTAGTTTGTACTCTTCATATTACACATGAGAATTCTCCTCCATCATCTCCTGCTTTGAACTGTTCCACTGGCACCCCTCAGAAGAAAAAAAGTAACCCCGGTGTTACTTGACCTCCAATATAGAAATACAGAGCTATAACAATGGCCAGGTTAGAATCAATGAAACAAGAAGTTATGTGTGATATTAGAGGAATTGAGATTCTGAGACACAAGAATGAGTTTCCCTCAGTTCTACCCGTAGTATCTGAGTAACAACCTGTCATCAGTTAACCCTGGGTATTTCTGCAACGACTGTCTGACAGCACAAAGCTCCTGCAAACAGTCCACTCATTCAGATTCAAATGGCTAAGCAGTTTAAATTCCTTCCTCCTTCCATTTCCCTGGGTTAAACATGTATATTCTTTGGATTTGGGAAGAAAGACAGACTCATTCCTTGTTACTTTAGTCTCCATAGAAAGCATGGTCCCAGAGTCAGGTAAGAACAAACTAGCTGCCAACTGTCCAACAACCCCAAATCACTCTGGTGTGCAAGCCTGTAATGTAACTCTGAGAGATACCATCAGGGAAGAGAAGCATGACAGCACATAGTCCCTTTACAGAGCTTCCCACTTATTGTGGAGGCAGCACAGGGACTCCATGATGAAGCACCAGAACAAGGAAAGCAGGAATACAGACAAAGCATCTCGTCAGCAGTGGGTTTTCAAGAGAACCACGTCGTCTGAAAGCTCCAAAACAATCCAGATCCCCAGAGCAGTAAGCGGAATTGTGCAATTCAAAACCACACAGACGTGAATCTGACTTTCAAAGGGCTTTATATTACAAAAAGAAAAATGTAAGTCACAACGAATGTGAAAAATCCATTCAATGAGGCTTGTTTCCAGTTTGCTAGGAAAGCTACTTTGCTCTTCCTTATTCCCAGCCTACTGCTGAAAACGTGATTGCCAAAACAGTGCCACCTCGAGCAGGAGTTTTAAAATCAAACTTGCTCAGCCAGATCCAGTACTCGGAACTTGTCCAGGTTGTAGAAACAAGCCTTCACGACTCTGCCTCCGAAGTATCTTCCATTTAGATCCACAACAGCTAAAAGGGAAACCAGTGACAGGTCAGCAAGCACCAGTTCAGTTCACTAATCAGGGAGAGCGTTCAATGTCTCTACAGGAGTTAGCTCTGCGGTTCATAGGACGCTATTTACTATCCTACCTTTGATGGCAGATTCAACCCGTTCAAACTCTAGGAATATTCTTACAGCTTCATCATCAGGGGCACCAGGAATCTGAAACAAAACAGAAAACAAACAAAATATCCCAAATCAGAACGAGAACAGGAGTAAAAATACTGTTTTAAATTGTTGTTCTTCACAGAAGTAGTGAAGTGAACATACTAAGAAGATTCCAAAAGCACAATACCCAGAGATTTTTGGATCTGCTGAAGACAGACTCATTCCTTGTTACTTTAGTCTTCACAGAAAGCACTGTCCTGGAGTCAGGTGAGAATAAACTAGCGGCCAACTGTCCAATGACCCCAAATCATTCTGGAGTGCAGAGGATTTACAAGACAAGGCTGTCATGTAACTTCGTTGCTGACACTAAGTTTGTGCTTTACAGATACAGAAAATCCAGGTTCACAACGCAGCAAAGGAACATGTGACATCTCCTAATCTATACCCCTTCTCCCAGGCAGTAACAAGCCAGTTGTGAGGGACAAGTGTTCAGTTTGGTTTCAGAGCAGCCTAAAAGAGACAGATTATCTCTTACCTCAAAGATGACACACTTCCCAACCTTGCCATACTTCTCACATTCCTCCTTAGTTTCAACTTCTAGATCTTCATCCACCTCCCCAGCACCAACCATGTTCTGAAAGTCAAAAGAACAAACCCAACTCACCGGGATGTATTTGGTACAGACCATTATGTAGACAAACCACAGATGTATTCAACCATGACCATAAATACTTTAAGCTTCTGTTCAACAGTAACAGCCACAGAGAGTTCCCTACTATTAAGACAAGGTAACTGTATAATCCAAAGCACTACTGATTTACAGTCACAACTTGTATCTCAGACATGTTTTCACCATGTAGATGCGGCTCAAAACCACTTAAACTTACAGAGTCATTGTAAGAGGAACACAGACTTACACATTTCAACCACAGATGCTGCAAGCACAAAGACATGTTCTCCTACTCCCAACTTACCCTTAGTAAGACCACTTTAGTTGGGCATTTCAGTATCTCAGTCAATGGGTTCGAATCCGCTTTTTTGCCCGTTTCTATGAAGACAGAACAGTGAATCATGAAATAACTGAAGATTAAAGCTCAACTGCCTGACAGGAGGATGGAGCCAGGAGGGGCTGAGCTCTGCTCCCAAGGAACAAGGGATGGGACAAGAGGGAATGGCCTCAAGCTGCACCAGGGCAGGTTTAGATGGAGTAGAGGAACAATTCCTGCCCCAGAGGGTGCTCAGGCATTGGAACAGGCTGCCCAGGGCAGGGCTGCAGTCACCGTCCCTGCAAGTGTTCACACAGTGTGGAGACGAGGCCTCAGTGCCATGGGTCAGTGGTGGCCTTGGCAAGTGCTAGGGAACGGTTGGACTGGATGAGCTCAAAGGGCTTTCCCAACCTGGCTGATTCTGTGATTTAAACTTATAGGGGGGATTTTATCATGATCTGTTATCAAACAATGGAATAAAACCCACAAAATGTAGTTTCATGTTAGTGAAGAATAGTCATTCTGAACTTGTAAGAATAGTATTTCTACCTGTAAAACGGTAAGAGGAAAAAATCACTTCTGCAAAATGTGAATTAAGCTGAACATTGGCAATGTACTATTTCATAATAATTCATCAGTTCAGAATAGTATCAGACTCCCTAAGAACTAAAAATCAGATCTCCTGACTTTCAACACTTGTGATCAGGCACAGGTGCTGTTCTCGTAAAGCTACATCTTGTCTGTAGATCAAACACCAGAGGAATGAGAGCAGTATCCAAAGCATGCGATGGGGAGAGAAAGCCAGCAGGAACAGAGCAGGATCACCTCTTGAAGAGAACCCTAAACTTCCAAACACTGAAGGAGGACAACTGATGGAGGGAGTGAGGGAAGGATGAGCTAAAAACAAAGAGGACCACTTTAAAAAAGATGAATTCCTAGAAGAAGGAATATGAGCCATTTTTCCAAGTCTAACCAGTATTTTCTGCAAGGACAGCTGGCAAACTTAACAAATCCAGGAGCATCCACTGAGCCTGAACTGTTCTTTTTCCCCTGACCATTTCTAACAAACTTATTAGTATAGGACAAAATTACCTTTCTCTGTAGAATCACCAACAATGATCTTGCCACCCCTCTTGCTTGTTTTCTCCACTGAGAGTGCTGTGCTCAGCCCCTGTTCATGTTTTCCCAGCCCCTGGCCCTCTCTGAAGCCATACTTCTGCATGATTTTATGAGCCACTGTCCCTCTGCAAAGAGAAAAAGAATCAGTAAAGGTTTCTTCCACAAAACATTAACATTGTATTTTTCCTAAGTGCTTGAACATTCTACCTCCTAAAAATCTCATTACCTAAAGACTGAAAACATAATAGGTTCTATAAGACTTAACAACCTAGCAACAACAGCACCCTGTGAAGATGAAAAGTGTTACCCCTGAATTATTTGGAAGAGCTGTCAGAGAAGGTGACTTAATAAAATTGCTCATACTTTTATTGATACAACCCAACTTCCATTCACAGTGCAAGTCAGCATCATACTCTATAAAATGGTTTGGGTTAGAAGGGACATTTAAAGACCATTTAGTTCAACCCCACTGCCATGGCAGGGACACCTTCCCCTAGATCAGGCTGCTGACAGTAGATCACAAATGAGATCAGATGAAGGTCTATTTAGTTCAGTTTCTTCTCTTTGTCAGTGGCTGGTATCAAAAGCTTGAGAGAAAACGCAGATGTAGAACAACCTAACTCCCACATTAATCAGATTCTGCTGTTTGTTCCAAGTTGGCATAAGCTCCAGACTACAGAGCTTTGTCAGCCCATTCTCTAACAAATCTGAATATCCTCGGTATTAATTTAAACACATCTCATCTTTCTGAATTTTCAAGAACACATTGAGGCAATAAAATCATAGAATGGATTGGAAGGGACCTTAAAGCTCCTCCAGTTCCAACTCCTGCCACAGGCAGGGACACCTTCCACTGAGCAGCTTGCTCCAAGCCCCTGTGTCCAACCTGGCCTTGAACACTGCCAGGGATGGGGCAGCCACAGCTTCTCTGGGCACCCTGTGCCAGCGCCTCAGCACCCTCACAGGAAAGAACTTCTTTATATCTAACTCAAACTTCCCCTGTTTCAGTTTAAAACCATCCCGCCTTAAGTACCTTACAAAAAGCACCTCCAGTGACAGGTTTTGGAATTCCCACTGAATAAACACTCAGAATCAAAATATACCTAAACATATTGACATTTCTTTGGAGACCACAGCTAAAGACACAAAAACCATGCCATGGTTTACTAGTTTAAACCATAGTAAATATTCTATGCTCACTCACCCCCATTTTATCTAAAGACATGTAAAATTACACATAAAATCACAATGATCCTGTGTAATCAGTGACTACATGACTACTTTCTAAGCATACTACATGAAACATACAAAGACATCTTCAAAAGGCCACAAAGTCTGGCTCTTGTCATGGTGAAAAGTTATAACACTAAGTAATAGAATAAGCAGTAGCTAACTGCGTGGTCAAAATAAAGCAGGTTAGATCTTGTATTTAGCACTTCCTTCAGTGAAGTGAAGGCTTGAGGGTCCTGGGGCATTGCTAACTAGAGGTGGTAACAATGCATCACTTTATCCAATAGTCCTGAGTTTGGTTATCCTTTTGCTGCACAAAGTGTTTCTATTAAAAAATGCATTTAGAATCATTTCCAAAATGGAAATGCAGTGTAATAATGTTTGACTACACTGAGGCTGCATTTCCACAACACCCAGTGCAACTGCTAAGAGTACCACATCTAACTACTCCACCTTTCAACTGAGAGCTCAAGATGTTTTTAGCTATGAATTCAACTTCCCCTTGTTTCCACAGTAGTAACAAGAACTACACATGATGATAATTCAAGGCAGAAAGTAACTGGGCAGATCTGCAGCCACAGCTGCTACATTCCTGCAAATATGCTTTGAATTTCTGAAGACATAAACTAAGCAGAGCTGATTTCCCCCCGGTATGTACCACACTGAAGACAAAGGTGGAAAAAAACCCCCAGAGGAACTAGCATGCCATCTGTGATTTCCTGTGTACTACACAGCTTGGCTTATAAAAGCCATAAACACTTTATGCCAGAGTGTGGCTTCAGAACTCGCTTAAAAGCAAAGCCTTGAATGCAACCACCTCAAATGCATTTCCCTTCCTCAAGTAAACCCACAGCTTTTCCTGTATCCTGCCAGTCAGAGCTATATGCACTCTGACATGTGGTGGGATGTGTTCTTCTCTGTTGACAAGCTATTTAAACTTTTGGTTCCCACCACCTTTTTTCCACCAGATGAGCATAAGTCAATCATTTACCCCATGTTAGCAAGGAAAGAGTTGCTAGGTCCCGTGGGGGAGCGAGGTCTTTCTGGCTCATCATATGCTGGAGGAGGAATAGCTGCTTTGGAAGATGGTGGCCGAGGTCTCGACTCCTCTTCATATGGAAACGATGCTACGGCTGAAGAAAACAGAAACATTTGGTTTTTCAGTAAAATACTTTGCATGATCTCACCTACTTGTTATGAGTACTGGAGTACTGTGCCTTCAGTTTACCACATTTACACACAGATGCAAGTTGTACCTTCTTCTGCTTTGATACTAACAAAAATCTTCCACATAAAATCCAAATCAGAAGATTTCCTTTGGACATCCTGCTTTAACATCCCTTTTCCTCTCTCCCTCTTAGAAACAGGAGTTATCCTGATTCTACTCATTGGATAGAAAGCTAGTTTGTATCCACAGGTCTGTAATGCATTTATTAACCTCTTACTTATCAAATGGAAGAAAGAAACATTAAGAGGCCACCTGCACTATGAGTTTATCCACACAGAGGGCAAACAGACTTGAAAGCCTCATTCATCAAGAACAGAATTACAACAAAACCAGATCAATGCATACAGCTTGGGGGCTGAGGATTGGGAAGAAAAGTGCACTGGAGATGTACACAAAAAAGAAAGTCTTAAAAAAGAATGAAAGCAGCTCGAAGCAAAATATTTATACAATCTGAAGAGAGCTGACAATTCCTGAATTGAAACTCTTCCTGGGGTGTGGAGATATATCAGTATCTGTCTCTGTATCTATATATAGGTATCTCAATCATACTGATGAGATTATTGGACTACCCTCCACTGACAAGTCAAATGTAAAGAAAAAAAGCCCACAGAACACTGAAGGAAATATCATGAACACACTTTTCAATGGACTTAAGGACTTCCAGACTGACATAGTCTTAGATTACTTCCCGCTGAACCAGGAGTTGTCCCTTACCAAATAAAACATCAGATGTAACGCTTTGGGATGGTGTATGAGCAAAGCCCAGTCCCTGTTTAAGCAGCAGATGGACTGGTCTGTGGGACTTCTGCTACAGCAGTGTTTTCTAAGGTTTTTCAGTCCAGCTTTGAGCATTAAGTAACAAACTGTACAAAGGATTCCTTGTGAGGTCATGTCCCGTTTCAAAAAGCTCTCTCCCTCAGGATATTTCTACCATTTCCAGCCTCTATTTACTTTTCCTTGACACCGCTCAATTGCTCTTCATTATTTACTCAAAACAACCTCTTTCTGTTTTGAATGTTTGCACACTTCAAATGCTTTCACTATTGTATCAACCACCACACGGACGAGCTTAGCTTTTGGTAAAGTGGAATGCCCTCATGAATAAAACCAGGACTCCCAAAGGAACGTTTGTGTACAGAAGATTCTTCTCCCTTATTATCTCTTAACATACACCACACGCTGTTCCATATTTTAATTGACAAATTTAAGACCATGCGACATGCAAAAAGAGGGAATGGGTTTGTTCTTATAGTAAGATTGTGCCATCTAGTGGGTAAGAGAAACCTGGTGCACACACACCTCTTTGGCAAATACTGCATCCCTCAAAAATTCACCAAGTTCTGCCTGTAGCACATAACCCCTTCAGAAAGATATTCATAAAGTACCTCCTAAAGCAAAAGGCAATAGATCAATTCCCTCTCCATGCTGTGGAGGTTTTGAGTCTACCCAGAGGAACTTGTCTGCAACGTTTCTCTTTTCACATCACGAGTAACTGAGCGTGGTTGTAATAGACCAGCTTGCCAAACCACTTCTCCAGTGATACAGAAAGAATCCTTTAGAACAGAGATGTGAAGCACAGTAGCGTTGCAGGATCCCCACAACTTCCCCCATGAGCAAAGAACTGGTAGAAGTTCTTCTGCCAAAGAATTGTATGGGAACAACATCAGGACAACAGAAAGCTGAGCAAGAAATAAACGTAGCCAAGTTTCAGAGAACAGGATTCTGGTGTACTTACGTTCTTTGTCCTTCTCAACAAGGGAAGTGGGTGGTGCAATGGCAGCTCCTCCCATACCTATGAGCAAAATGGAAGATAACTCATTTGTATGATTATATTCTGCTGCTCGAAATAGCTTCACTGAATCTTAAGATAGCTCCTGGCTCCTCACCAGCCAATTCTTAACACACATCTCTATCAAGGGAAAAGCAGCAAGAGAGCAGTCTGAGAAGCTTCAACAGTGGTGAGCTGGAGCTGAATGAAAAGCGCATCAAGGGAAGCATCAAACTGCAGTGATGTACTACTACATGTCATGTCTGTCACAGACATATTTCACAGGATTTCAAAGTTAAAGACTAGAGTGAAACAAACCTTTAGCTCTAAAACTGCTCAATCAAACCAAATGAGAAAGACGCTCTGTTCAAAATTAGCTACACTTTCAAACCAGTGAAGTACAAAGCCTCTTAATGAACAATATTCTAACGTAGTCTCATAACTTTCAAGGCAGAGTAAATACATGTCACGTCCCTTGTCAGAAATTTTCTTTTTTAGAGTAACAACAGCCCTGAATTATTTACTGTAACTTTGGTGCTGAAAGTTTAATTTTATAGAATCACAGAATGGTTTGGGTTGGAAAAGAGTTTAAGATCATCCAGTTCCAACCCTCCTGCTATAGGCTGGGACACCTCACCCCAGACCACGTCGCCCAAGGCTCTGTCCAATCTGATCTTGAACGCTGCTAAGGATTTACTGTTTCTTTGGGCAACCTGTGCCAGTGCCTCACCACCCTCGCAGTAAAGAACTTCTTCTTTCTATCTAACCTGAACTTCCCCTGTTTCAGCTTGAACCCACCACCCCTTGTCCTATCACTTCAGTCCCTGATGAAGAGTCCTCCTCCAGTATACTTGTAGCCCCTTCAGATAGTGGAAGCTGCTCTGAGGTCTCCACACAGCTTCTCTTCTCCAGGCTGAACAGACATGCAAAGACCTATCTCATCACCCAGATCCACATCATCTAAGTAGTTCTAAGGACATGAAATAACAAATGCAGGAATAGTCAGCTTTAGTAGTTAAAACTCAACAAGGACCCTCTTACAGTGATTTTATCTCATGTTTCACCCCTTTCCTGGAACCTACACCATGCAGAAACTTAAACCAGGTTATTTACAAACCAAAGTCTTTCCACAATTCCTGCAGGGAAAGAACAGTTTTCTGCATGAGGACAGTTACAGTTGTAATAAAATGCCAGGGTTATTCTAAAGGCAGAATTGTGAATTCCCTCCATTTATTTTTCTCCTCTTTCCCCATCAAGGAAAAAAAAAAAATCAAACAGCTCCCTTACTTCTTTTTCGTCTCTCCCTTTCATAATCTTCATCTTCATCAGAATCTGGATCTGGTCTTCTTGAAAAGCCACTGGCTTCATGTCTGTCTTTACGTCTTCTAGGAAACATAGTAAGTTAGAAACCATCAAAGTTAACTCTTTGCTTTAATCTGTGATACCACCTTTGCAGTGTGAATTATACTGCTCCACTCTAATTGGCATTTTATAACGTTTTCCATGAAGGTGTGAGTAAAAACCTTTACTTTTTGTTTCTTTGCTTTTATCTTCATGGAGTATGCTTTGTGAGATTAAGATACATCCAAAGCAAAATCATCTTCGACTTGCAAGTCAGCTAAGAAGAATGTATGAAAATGAGGAAGCACCTGAATAAATCTAGTGCAAACTGACTACAGTGACTGAATGACTACAAAGGAAGAGGTGTTGGGTGGAATAGCCCACAAGATAACAGAGACGTTAATTAATCACCCTGCTTTGAACAGATCCCTTCTACATTCCCCACCACAGGCTATACAAAGTAGTATCATTTACTCAGTTAACTAGAAAAAACTCCAAAACCATTGATTATTGAGTAGCTTGGTGATTAAATAAGATTCCAACAAGTCTACTGAAACATATTTAACATTAGGTGAGAAATGCTTCAAGAAGTGTTTGCACTTCAGCTATTATTTACTGTCATTATGAAATTACTCACTTTAATATCTCAGAAAAAGGAAAAGTAGTTTTCCCAAACTGTGAGGAGCACAGTGTGGAACGTAAATCAGATCTCACTGACGGCACAGCCATCAAAACTGTGCTACAGGATGCTAAAAACAGCTCAGCTGTTCTGAATCTCTGCACTGTGAATTTAAACCAAACCTACACCCTGTTCTGTCACTCAGGTTATTACAATGCATCCAGCTGATGCAGGCTTGGCTGAGATTGTTTCCCCAGTTTTAAATCAAAGTGTATGATGTGTTTTTCACTTCCTCTCTCTAATGTTATATATAAACACTACCCTTCTGGCCCACATACAACAAGCACAAGCATGACTGAACAGCTATCAACACTGAAGCTGTGGAAATGACAGCTTGGATTTCTGACATCTTGACAGAGAGCCTGAGGCACTCCTCCTCCACCAGATCAACGAAGATAGAACCAAGAGTGAACAGAGAAGGCCAAATGGCTAAAAATATCAATTTCCACAATCTAAAAAGGGCAGCAGAATAACCCTCCTGTAATTCCACAGACTTGAGATGATTCATACCACGATGAAGCTGGCTTATTAATTTCACTTAAAATGGGCAAATACAGTCTTACTGCCTTGCTGGCAGACATTTTACCACCTGTTTCAATAGGACATCAAATCTGTATTCAACTTCTTTAATATGATTAGAGAGGTTTCTTACTCCATGGAAATGGTATTAAGGTAATTACAAGTAAGTAGTGTTGTCTTTTGTACAAAGAAGTAATAAATACACGATTAACTTACTTGAACTGAATGCAGACTGTTAATACTATGCCTCTCATAGGCTGTGCTAGCTACATCTTTAAAACTATGTATCTTTAAAATTATGTATCATTTTGTAGTATTTAAACCCAGAAATGATGGTTTATCACTGAGTGCTGGAAGGTATTTCTGTAGTCAAGTTATACTGAATACTCTAAAGGTCAAAGTCTGATAATGATGCATTAAGTACAGAAATCCTGCTGCTACTGTCAAAATAAAGCAGATCTAGCGAAAGCTGACACATACCTTTCAGGTAAAGAGGCTGTTAACATGATAAATGTTGTAATTTTTGCACTATCAGTCGATTTAGCAAGAGTATTACAACCTACAACATACTGAAACCTTGTGCTTGTTTCTAAAAGCAGTTTTCTTCAGAAAAGCTTTAAGAATTTCCCTGTTTAGAGGGATAAAACTAAACAGATATGCTTGTTCTTTATATAATTGTCACAAGTTTAAACAAAAGCCTTACTTTTCTCTTTCTTCAATCTCCTTTTGCCTCTCCAGCTCACGTTGCCTCTGTCGCTCCTCCCTTTGACGCTTTACCACTTTTTCATAGTCATTTGGGAACATGGGATCATACTCATCTGCCAAAGGAATCAACACATCTCCTGCAGAGAAACCACTGGGTACAGGATCCTTAAAGAAAGAAAAAGGATTTGGTCAGCTGGTATCTGAACATCCAGTTCGAAACCACTATTTTAACACTTCCTTCTCACTCTCAACACCATAAACCACAATTCCTGACTTCAATAATGGCAGGTATCAGAAGAAATATTTGCTTCACTTAAAACTAACATCCCATCCAGGCTTGCACTACCTCAAATTTTTCCATGAATAAAAAATTGCCCACACTCACTCCCCCTACCAAATACAAAGCAGCAGCACGTCACCATGGACAAGGGTTTTTCAACCCCTCTTAATTCATTATCAGAAGTATTAGGGCACCTTGCTGTTGCAACCATCTGCAAGGGGTCCTCCCACATAATCTCATCAGTCTTTTTCATCAGCTGCTATTAATATAACACAGAGGTTCACACACTGTTCCACCCTCATCTGAAAGAACTATTTAGGGCCAGGAGAATGATCAGGGGCTGGAGCACCTCCCATATGAAGAAAGGCTGAGAAAATTGCGGCTGGAGAAGAGAAGCTGCATGGAGGACTCAGAGCAGCTCCCAGTGTCTGAAGGGGGCTACAGGGATGCTGGAGAGGGACTCTTCATCAGGGACTGTAGTAACAGGACAAGGGGTGATGGGTTCAAAATTAAACAGGGGAGATTTAGGCTAGGTATAAGGAAGAAGTTCTTTACTGTGAGGGTGCTGAGGCGCTGGCACAGGGTGCCCAGAGAAGCTGTGGCTGCCCCATCCCTGGCAGTGCTCAAGGCGAGGTTGAACAGGGCTTGGAGCAAGCTGCTCTAGTGGAAGGTGTCCCTGCCCATGACAGGGGTTGGAACTGGATGAGCTTAAGGTCCTTTCCAACCCAAACCAGTCTGGGATTCTATTTCAGAACCAACACCTTTGAAAAAGTTTCAGGGAGAAAGTTTCTTTTGATTCCTTACCATAAGAAATCCATTTTAAAAGGTTAGGTGGCTTTTTTTGAAGTTGACTGATAATACAGGTCCATTTCCAACACTGGTGTAATCACAATTAAATTACATTCATTATTAACCTGACCACACTGCTGTCTTGCAAAGTACCTTCAAGCTGATCAGAAGAAATACACTAGGAACACTTTGATTTTAACTACATGTTAATATTGGTAATCCCATGGAAAGACTGTATGAAACTGAAATGTTCATCAATTAAAGACTCTTTGAGCAGAGGAAATCAATTTCAGAAAATGGTTATTTTTTTTGACTACTAGGAAAGATGATGGAAAACTAAAAATATAGACTGCACTCAAGTAACTCAAACTGTAAACCATTAGTTTACAGACGAACTTTTTAGCTGCCTTGGTCTTACCTTTAAGCCAGCTGCTACATGAGGTGGTGTGTCCACGATCTGCCTCTCATCAGAAGAGCCTCCTCGTTTCAAGTCAATCACTGGAGCAAGCACTGTGCTTTGTTTTGTTCTCTGACTCTGAAAAACATCACCAAAACACAGAATGTCTAAAAAAAGAGAAATCAGCAGCTAGTTTTATGTATTTGTAGCTAGTAACTCCAATTTTTGTAGTAAAAGGGTGAAAACCACTGTCTCAAATTCTCCACTGTGCAAAGCTCAATAAATCATTTCTCTTCAGTTTACCAACAATACAGTAATTTCTGCTTTCATAACACCCCACATGGAGCTCTGGGTGCAGTTCTGGTGTCTTCAACATAAAAAGGGCATGGAGCTGTTGGAGCAAGTCCACAGGAGGCCACAGGGATGATCAGGGGCTGGAGCACTTCCCTTATGAAGACAGGCTGAGAACATCTGGGGCTGTTCAGCCTGGAGAAGAGAAGCTGTGTGGAGACCTCAGAGCAGCTTCCAGTATATGAAGGGGGCCTACAGGGATGCTGGAGAAGGACTCTTCATCAGGGACTGTAGTGACAGCACAAGGGGTGATGGGTTCAGACTGAACCAGGAGAGATTTATGTTGGATGTAAAGAAGAAACTCTTCACTGTGAGGGTGGTGAGGCACTGGCACAGGCTGCATCAAGAGAAGCTGTGGCTGACCCATCCCTGGCAATGTTCAAGCTCAGGCTGGACAGAGCTTTGGGCAACATGGTCTACTGCCCATGGCAGGGGGCTGCAACTGGATGATCTTAAGGTCCTTTCCAGTCCAAACCATTCTATGATTCTATGATTTGTAATGGACCTTGGCATGGATAACTAAGTTTATGTCATGTTTTAGTGGTGGCAAAGGCTCTCAGTTCCAAGTCAGATGCTTGTCAACTATGTTTAAAGAGCTGTTACATAAATACAGATCTGATGGAATATTTCAAAGAATGCTTCCATGAAACCAGTGCATATTTTCCTCTTCTTAAGGAACTGAGATCAGAGTTTGCTTGTGTATGCACTAGAACATACAGTGGTAGATGAATGCTTCTAGGCTTGGACTAGGACCAGAAAGACACCCCTTAAAAGTTCAGACAATCTTTTCAGATGAGTTTGAACCAAGTGGGTTTTTTAAGGGGCTCAGACTTATTTCAAAAATCTCCTGTTCTTCGTATTTTATCATTTGAAAAAATGTATTAATCTATTCTGAAATCTGAGTTTTCTAATCCTCTTCTATTAGCCTGTGCATATACTGATACCAGTTACACAAAGAATCGATCCAATAGAGTAGTAATTTAGATTTCATTCATGCAGGTTGTTGTAGTTACCAACTAAATCCTGCCCTCAACTTCAGTGGCATAAAACAGGAGTAAGTCCAATGAAAAAAATGCTGTGCCTACTGAAGTGTTCAGTATCTAAGCTGCTACTTATTTTTAATCAAGTAATCTCACTTTAGAGGCTACACAACACAAAGAACACACACATGTCCTCCCTGAACCAACATATCAACACTGCTTAAAAAAGGAGGACGAAATACAGCAATAAAAAGAGAAAATGGCTCTGTCACAGTTCAGGCTCAGGGAATTAGCCTGAACTCTTTCTCCCTTTAGGCACATTGGAAATACTTTCATTAGGGACATTAGTGGTAGGACAAGGGGTAATGGGTTAAAACTTAAAGAGGGGAAATTTAGATTGGATATAAGGAGGAAATTCTTTCCTGTTAGGGTGGTGAGGCACTGGAATGCCAGGGAGGTTGTGAATGCTCCATCCCTGTTGGTGTTCAAGGCCAGGTTGGACGAGCCTTGGGTAATATGGTTTAGAGCGAGGCGTCCCTGCCCATGGCAGGGGGGTTGGAACTTGATGATCTTAAGGTCCTTTCCAACCCTAACTATTCTGTGATTCTATGCAGCACGGCCAACCATCAATCACAGTATGACCCTTACCTTAAATAAAAACCCAACTTACTCTCATTATCTTTAAAGTTAGATCTGAAGATCAGCTTTTAGCTCTGTTACTTAAAAGATTCAGATCAGTTCTTGGTTCAATTTTCATGTTAATTTTGGTATTTCCCTCTAACAGACTTTAAGAAACTTGCACCTTTCCTCTCGTCCCCTCTGTTTTGTAATGCTCCTTGCTACAAGCTCACAGCCAAATCCCAGCAAAAGTATCCCAAACTGGTATTCTAAGGTCACAAACCTTCTTCAGTGCTCCAAACAGAAAAGCAGCTTTAATAACAAAGCAAAACCACAAAGGGACTATACCTTTGCTTGTGTGAGAGCTGCTTTCTTCACCTGCAGCTGCGACTGTAGTAGTTTGAAGTTTTTGGACCAGCCTTCTGTTTTAGAATCGCTGGTCTCAACTCCCAAGTCATCGTAAAGTGACATTTTCTCTTCAATTGAAAACTAGAAAACAAGAGGACAAATTCCAGATGACACAACAAACCTATGCCAGGGCTTATTTGCTAATAGTTCGTTTGTATGCCATAGTTTGTTTGTACGCCATATTCTGATAATGACTTGTTTTCAGAGCCAGAGAAAATCTGAAGTAATCAAATGTTACTTAAGCTAGTAGCACATACACATAACTACAGTAAGGCTGTTTAAAAGCAACTGTTTGAAAAGTAATGAATACTATTCAAGCATTAAGAAGTGATGGGAAGCTCCTAAAACTATGTTTGTAGCATTAGGTATCAGCAATTTCAGGTTTTAGAGTAGTGGTGCTCTGTGTATCACACAAGCCTTAGGACTTCAGAATCAAACACAAAAGAATTATTGTTTCTGCTGCCCTTCAAAACATATCAGCATTACAATCATCTTATTAAATGTCACTAATTTTTGCATCACTGTAAAGGAAGATCTTTCTTATACTAAATACACTTGCCACAGTATTATTAAGTCACTGTTTCCACATATTTCAGAGGCCCTTTTAAAGGCCTATACATAGAATTACATCTGTATGTGCACACACCCCACACACATACATATGCATACATACATAAAATTAGCCAGGTAACAATATCAAAGACATGACATGAAATGCATCACTTTGATATTGCATCTAGGTGAACAGAAAAAGAGATGTGAGTGCAACGAGAGGTCTATCATTTGTGGAATAAGCTCACTGAACCGGTTTAAAGGCCCTTTTTAAAGCTCAATATTTAGTCTCTGATAGGCTTGGATCACAGCATCTTCAGGCTTGGATCACAGCATCTTCACCCCAAAACTAACCTCTTAACTTAGTGCAGGATCAAACAGAACTGATCAATGGCCTTGCAGATAAAGCTTACAGACTCATCAGCAAGATCTTCACCCCACAGGTCTGACAGACACTTATGTTTGAGGGCACCCGCCTGACATACGGGAGATGATGGTTGCTGCAGATATAACTTGCATTCACCTAAGCCCGTGGGAAAAGTCCTGGATACAGCAACTATATTATACCTCTGAATTTAAAACAAACCCAAGAATTTAATCCTGCAATGGAATATAACAACCAGGGCTCAGCAGAACAGAGTTCACTGCAAGAAAAGGAGGGCTGCACTTAGTGGAGATTATTACACATAGGTGCACACAAGTGAAACATACAGAGCCACCTTATAACATACAGGGGCACAGGATGAGGACGGGGCACGACATGAATTCCCACCCACCACAGGGAATAAATGCAGTAGGAACGGTGCTATTCTATGAAATATAATGAATATATGAGATATATGATATGATGCATATATGGGAGATACGATGCCCTTCGGATACGTGATGCTACCCGCACAGATATAGGGAATACAGGGAAGGTGCTGCCTCCGCGGGAAAGCGACATTGTGCCGCAGCGCCTGGAAGGGATGGGGTGCACCGCGGGGAACACACCATGGAACAAAGCAGAGGGGCTGTCACCACGCCGACAGAGCGATAGGCTCTTATGTCCCCCCTCAAGCGCGGTCAGAGGGACCGAGGCCTGGGACGCTGAGGGGCCCTGACCACCCCTCGCAGGCCGCTACCCCTCCGACGGGAGCAGCCGCACTGCCGAGGCCGCTGCAGAGGAGCCTGGCGCCCTCCTCCCGCTCCGCCCTGCGTCCGCACACCCTCCCGGAGCCCGGTACCGCCTCCCCGGGCTGGCACTGCCGGCCGCGGCCCATCACCCACCGCTCACCCGTCACCGCGCCGCCGCCGCCATTAGCCGGCCGCTGAGGCAGCCGGGAAGGGGCCGCACCTGCGCACTGCCGCCCGCACGCCCTCTCTCGACCAATGAGCGCTAAGCGGCAGCGCCTCTGTTGTACTGCCCCCTGGCGGCGGCGCAGCGCCGGCTCCCTTCTTCCGTCCTCCCTCCTTCCCTCCGGCTCCGCTCGCTGGTGTTGGGAATGGGGGGGGGGGCTCTCGCCGGGAGCTTTGGGGTGGGAAGAAGAGCTCTAACCCCCAAAAGAAGGGAGTGGAGGAAGCATTCGGAGTGCTGACCTCCTCCTGCAGCCCTCTTTAAGGTGTCAGACGCGCAGCTGAGCCCCGGCTGCTGCTCCTCAGCCGCCATACACATCAACTTCCTAATGCAGGGAAGTAGGATATGGGTGTGAATTTGGCAAGGGAAGAAAGATGGCAGCTAATTGCACACACGATTTTTCACCCTGGGTGGGAAGTTTGGGTTCCTGGCTTCCTTAGTCCCAAAGAAATCCAAATTCCTTTTGGTTTTCACGATGCACATCGAGTGTAATCAGCAGCTTGAGCTTTCTTTGCTTCCTCACACCTGGAATCCAGTCCCTGATGTGACTCGAAGGTCGTGCAATGAAGCAATACAGTGACGCTGTGGGGTTTGGGGTCTCCGTCAAGTCTGGGGTCTCCCCCAGTTCTGAGTCCTGTGCAGTGATGGGAATCACAGACCCACTGTGGAGGAGATGATGTGAATCACTCATCTCACCCTCTGAATGTGATGTTTGGCTCTATAATGACCCCCTGCAATAACCCTTTTATACGGTGCATGCAACTATGGGAATAGAGACAAACAGCAATAAACACAAAGTAACGTTTATTTTGGCAGGATTATTTAACACCAAACAGCAAATACGATCGGATAATCCATGCAGCTCGCTTAAAGAAAGCCACTTTAAATCCCAGTGGCAACAGCAATACCAAACCCTCATATTAGTTCTGCACTCATAATGTGAATGTCCATTAAGAGGTTTTTTAGGTTTAGAAGCCTGTGTCACTGCTGAGGAGAGAAGAAATCTTCGTTATAGCTGAATTGTGAGGGGTTTGGGAAACAGCTATGTCCCTGCAGTATGATGAGCTACCACTTGCCCTTGTTTAGTTGGAGCTGTGCTGGAGTTTGAAGCAGATTTAGGAATTCCATCAGCAGAGGGCAGGACTGTATTTGCCCAACACTGTATTGTCCCTGTATATCACAAATCTCTATATTGTATTTCTAACTCATTAGGAAATTGTGGCAGCTTATTGAATGCGTAACCTGACAGCTCATCTCCTTGAGCATTTCCAATTACTTACTGAGCAAACCTTAATTTTGGGGGGAGAAATGGAGACAATAATATGAAGCTCTACTGAGTATGACAGCACAGTCATAATAAAAAAGTTAGGAAGAAAGAAAACTTACAGTCATTTGACATCAAGTGTATTCCAAACGTCCCCATCTGTTATTCAGGCATGCTTGTTACCATTGCACTGTGCCATCACTGAGGTCACCAGGTAATCATGTTATTGCAAAGTATCTGCCTATTAGAAGCATTTATCCCCTTCATTTTGGCCTGAAGTGGGCTGGATTGGTTGATTTCTCTGATCATCTAGTTGCAGAAATTAGTTTTGTTTTCCAAAATAATCCCTAATATTCTGTAGCTGGGTAAGCGTGGATGTTACCCAACCACACCGATTTCCCATCTGCTTCAGGCGGCTCACCCCAAAAGCTCCTGCTAATTATTCTGTGTTTTCTCTTTGACAGTGGCGAGAACGGCTTTTCTACTTTGTGTTAATGGGCATGTGTATCTCCAGCTCATGCCAGTGTCAAACTGGGTGAGCTGAGGTTTCTAAGAATTACGGCCACTTCCACTACGTGATAAAGTGATGGAAATAAACATGCGACACTGTCTGCAAAACAAAGCACAACCTCCAACCCCAAAGCAGATAGCATTGTCCCTTCAACCTCAAAGTACTGCAAGCACTATCTCTGTATTATCATAGAATCATAGAATCATAGAATCATAGAATAGTTAGGGTTGGAAAGGACCTTAAGATCATCAAGTTCCAACCCCCCTGCCATGGGCAGGGACACCTCGCTCTAAACCATCTCACCCAAGGCCTCGTCCAACCTGGACTTGAACACTGCCAGGGATGAAGCATTCACAACCGCCCAGGGAAACCCATTCCAGTGCCTCACCACCCTAACAGGAAAGAATTTCCTCCTTATATCCAATCTAAATTTCCCCTGTTTCAGTTTTAACCCATTACCCCTTGTCCTACCACTACAGTCCCTAATGAAGAGTCCATCCCCATCATCCCTATAGGCCCCCTTCAGATACTGGAAGGCTGCTCTGAGGTCTCCACGCAACCTTCTCTTCTCCAGGCTGAACAGCCCCAACTTTCTCAGCCAATCTTCATCAGAAAGTCCCTACCTCTAGCATTGCTTTCCACTGTGCTACTATGCAGTTTGTTTCCCCATAGTTAGCTGAGAAGTGGTGCTAGTAAGTAAAGCTACTACTTCAGAAAGATCTGATTTCAAGTTCTGGACTATACTAGAATCTTCCCTTCCTCGTTATGCTGCTTTCTACTGAGGCAATCTTCCTAGGTTGTGCATTTGCAGATGAGTCTATTTTCATAACAGTGAAAGCTTCTTAAATACAGCAAGAAATTGTCTTAACTTTATTTATGGAGGATCTTCCAAGTATCTTCATTTGCTTTCTTGACATAGCAATGTCTGCTTTTTTTAGGGAAGGATTTAAAATATTAATATATATATAGAATCATAGAATAGTTAGGGTTGGAAAGGACCTGAAGATCATCAAGTTCCAACCCCCCTGCCATGGGCAGGGACACCTCGCTCTAAACCCTATCACCCAAGGCCTCGTCCAGCCTGGCTTTGAACACTGCCAGGGATGGAGCATTCACAACCTCCCTGGGCAACCTATTCCAGTGCCTCACCACCCTAACAGGAAATAATTGGATATAAGGATATAAGGAAGAAAGAAAATCACCAGGACACTTGACTACTGATTCTATAGTGACAGAATCCTGTTGAGAAAAACCCAAGTATCCTATGTTAAAGGAAGAAATCAAACAATTAATTGCATCAAAAGATGCTGAGAGAAATCACCATGGGTTGAAATGTCACAGAGCAGTAGCACAGCATGACAATCATTGCGAGAAACTAAAAAGAGGTCAGAGTCTGCAAAGGTGGAAAACATCATAACAATGGGAGATTGCAGTTCCTCCTAGGAGCAAGTCACAACAGGGAAGGCAAAGGCTAAATTGTTAGACCTATAAATAACTGCCTATTAAAGAAATGAATCAGATACTTAGCAAGTAGAGAAGCAGCTCTTGGTTTAGCCTGGAAACTGCATTAGGCATGGATCAGAACTTATCCACCACAGGAATGATAGCCACAATGCACTTGGTACACACCCATATAGGAGCAATGAAGCCCCAAAAAATCCATGTCATTCAATTCAGGAAGGCTGCAGGCAGGTAGAGAAATCTCACCCAGCTGCCAAGTGTAGAGGTTCCAAACAGACTGGGAATGAGGGAGACATTCATGGTCTCATCCACAGAAATACATATCCTGAAGGCAAGTAATAACTGGCTGAAATCTCTTTTCCCAGCAAAGGTTTTTCCACCATGTGCAAAGGTGGGGAAGCATTGGCCAGCTCTGTGCTCTGCAGCAGACCCTCAGTGATGCTGAAGTTGGATCTTTCAACTATCCTTATTGCTTTGTTTTAGGATTTAAACCTTTCCATGTTGGTGTTTTTCCTCTTGAATCCCACTAATGATCGCTGCTTCAGCAGTCCTACCTCTGTGCCTGCTTTCTTATCCCATCTGGTTCTGCTCTATACATTTTCTTGCAGCTCTTTCTCCCAACTTATCCACTTTCTCAGTAGTTTGATGCAGCTGGGTCTCCTGAACTCCTTGGAGAGTAGAAGAGGGAGCTGCAAGTAAACTCCTGATACACTGTGAGAAGCCTTGGTTGGGACCCTCTTATTGTACCAACAGGCAACCTGGGAAGGTGAACAGCCAAGGTGGTGGAACTTGCTATGGATTCCAACGTTATTCAGAATAATCAGCCAAAAGCCCAAAGCAGAAAGTTGCAGAAGGATGGCATAATGCTGGCTGGGTGATGAGATGGCAGATGGGACCCAGTGTTAATGAATGCAAAGCAATGCACACAAGAGAAAATAGCACTAACAAAACACACACAGCGGCAGGCTCTAAATCAGCTGCTTCCATTAAGGAGAGAGATGCTGCATTCATTGTGGATCATTTTCTAGAAATGCCTACTCAGTGCTCTGAAGGAGGCAAGAAAGCAATGCTAGGAAGCATTAAAATTTAAAAGAAAAGGAGAAAACCTACTCATAAATCTAACATTCATATGCACCTTTTGGTGGCCATCTGCACTCCTGGGCATCTCATCCCAAGGTGCAGCAATGCAATGCAAAAACTTAGAGAAATCAGATGTGTTGAGTGAAAAGGGACGGTGAAAGGGGACCTCAAAAGCATCAAGCATCCAAAACGGTATAGAAAAGGTAAATAGGGAGTTCTTATTTTACTCTTTGATGGTGACCTCTCAGAAGGTGTAAAATGAAGCAATGCTGGAGAAGAAGAAGGGGCCTATAAATACCTCATTTCTTATAATTTCCCCAAAGCATTGATAGCAGGTTTTGCTGGATGTGGATCATTTCTGCTATGTATTACAGATCTCTGCTGAGGATGAAGGTTGCTAACATGCCAAAATGGCGTTAGAGGGCAGTGCATTGCAACCTAACTGCAGGTCTTTGGGATGGGATGGCAATCGTGATTGCAGAACACCCCCCCCCCCCACACCAAAAAACCATTGGGGATCAAGAGAACAGAGCAGTTCCAACCACATAATTGAGAACTGGTGGAGACCACAATGTGGCACAAAAGCAACACATCAGGGCTGCTAGAGAAGAGTCAATCAGGTTAAAAAGTGGTTAAATCCCATCAGATGGTGGTGTCCAGTGGTGAAGGTCCCAAGTGGAGATCTGACCCCTGGTGCACACCACATATATTGTGGTGGCCCTGGCAGCACCTTCCTGGACTATTTTCTTGAGACAATACCTGTTTAATT